AATATGAGGCAGTTCACCTTAAAACTTCCTCCGCGAATGTATCTCTTCCTTTGAGAAGACAGCTTTCACGTGCTTTGCTAAACTTTTAGTAATTAACCCAATGCAAATGAATAGATATAGTCTGCAACTCAATTACCAAAATAGAGATAAATTGATAATTCACTTTAAGTATTATTGGAATGTCTCTGAAATATCTCGTGGTATGCTACCAAAGCATAGAAGACTCCACATTATAAATAAAGTAAAATCTATCAAGTAAGCTGTTGATATTCCCTTTTTGGCGTATATCAGAAAATTTCTAATAATTAAATCAAGAACCAGTTAAAATAATCAACCCATCAGAGCCAGAATCCTGGAATATCTATCTATTAAAAAGATGTAAATCTGTCTTTTCGTGAGAGCTTCATTAAACATGTTATCCATGTGCATAAATTTTCTGCATGGAATCAATAATTAATAAGATGCTTCCAAATAGATGAAGGTCAAGTCGTTGCAGATTACTGATCTAGTTAATTAGTATCCTAATAATTAAAATATGTCAAAGAAGGAGTATGGTATTAGTCAATTCAGATGACTTATTGAAGAGTACAACTATGTTATTTCCTCCGATGAGTGATGTAAGGAGGTAATGTAACTTTGGCATAATCTTCTTCTATACTTTATTTTAATCACAATATATCAGAATTGTTCTTAGTTTATACATATTTTCAAGTCATCATCATCATTTCAGCATCGCACCAAAATTTCGTAATTTTAAAATGCTTGCTACGAAAGAAACGTATTTAAAGGATTATACTACTTTTCCCTTTCAGAAACACAGAGTAATTTAGGATTTCTATATAGTAATACTTATATATCTATAATACGCAGTTTTCATTTTTAATGCAGCATATAAAACATGGAGAAAAGTTACTGAAAATTAATGGAAGTGAGACTATCGAAAAATATAGGTTTGTGCTTTTTGTGTGCAGCAATAATTAGCTCAAGCCGCCCAGACGGTATACTGGTTAGGGGAGCCTGACCGCGATACCAAAGGGCCCGGGTTCGAATCCTGGAAAATTGTCTATTCCTTCATGGGAGGTACCGGTGGCCGCCTATTAGGTGCCTCCACAATAAAATGGCTACCACTTCTGGCCTTAATAGTGGCCAATGCCGTTATAGGCAAGTGCCCGCCATTTGTAAAATAATAATAATAGTAATAATAATAATTAGAGTAAAGGAGAAATTCGCCCAGAAGGACTATTAATTTCGTTTTGGCAGTTTGCTTCGTAAACTATGAAACGCCGTTTCACTTTTTAAATTGTTGCCACCAAAATTTAAAAGCCCTGCATTATATTTAAAGAAATTAAAAATGAAGAATCTGCATGTACAGTGGTGGCCAAAATTGTGGACACTTTTGGAGATTTTTATGTTTTTTAACTTTGTATGCTTATAGAAAATGTTATGTTTCGCAAAATGCAAACTTGTATATATCATTTTAAAGAGAATTTATTACTGAATTCAATGCAAAACACAAAATTCAGTTATTTGCAGTACAAAAAAAGTTATATGTACTTTAATATAAATAAAAAACACAGTTATGAAGTGTAATGTCTAGCTTTCCTGGCAAATCACTGTTCTTGTTCTGAGAACCAATCAAATGTTAGTAACTGCCAGTAGAAGCTGACATCATGTTTACACTTGAAACAATTCATTATTTTGCTTTGTTCTGTAGAAGGAGGACCTGTTTCCTATACACTGCAATTACAAGTAGGAATTATTGTAAAAAATTTTAATATTTAGTCAAGAAGCAATGAAATCAAATAAAAGAGTAGATTGGACACCTAGAAAGAGATGTAATATTATTGTGTACGAGAAAGTGGTATTTTCTATGCTGAAATTGCAAGACACGTGGGTGGTTCAGTGACTACATCTGGAGTCCGAAAGTTTTGTTTATGATATCAGGAGACAAATTCAATAAAAAACAAAGAAGGAAAAGGCCTAAAAAGGTGCACCACATCTATTGATGACAGAAGAATAAAAAGACTATGTCTCCAAGATAGAAAACTGTCATCAGCGACCATCAGAAGTGATCTGAAAGATGCTGGTGTTTCTGTCAGTTCAAGAACAATCAGGAGAAAATTAATAGATGTTGGACTGAGAGGTAGAATTCCACGAAAAAATACTTAAATTTTCAGCAACGAAAAAAAAAAAGACTACAGTGGGCAAAGGAACACATTAATTGGACAGATGATCAGTGGTCACAAGTTATATGGAGTGATGAAACTAAGATATCATTATTCGGTAGTGATGAGCGAAAATATGTAAGACGTAAAATAGGAGAAGAGCTACATCCTGACTGCATTCCAGAAACTGTGAAGAACCCAGTTAGAGTTATGATTTGGTCATGCATGTCAGCAGACGGTATTGGTAGCCTTCATGTCATCGATGGGACACTGAATGCCAGAAAATACATTACACTATTCTAGAACCAAAACTTCTACCTTCCATCAGAGATCTCTTTCCCAATCATGCTTCGTTTATTTTTCAGCAGGATTCTGCTCCTTGCCACACGGTCAAAATATCGAAAGAGTGGTTTCGTACAAAGAGCATTAAATTGTTGTCATGGCCAGGAAACAGTCCTGACCTCAATCCTATCGAAAATTTGTGGCACCGTTTGAAAACTCTTGTCCGAATGAGGCGCCCATCAAATAAAAGGGAACTACTTGATCCTATAATTGTTTCTTGGCATCATGTAATAACGAAAGAAGAGCTTAAAACTCTTGTCAGCTCAATGAAACGTCGATGTGAAGCTGTAATCAAAAATAAAGGGTACCCTACTAATTACTGATAACTCACTGCAATTATCACTATCTAATGTATATCGATAGCTATTATCGTTTAACTTTTTTGTATTGAAAATGATTGAATTTTGTGTTTTTGTATTGAATTCAGTAATAAATTCTCTTTAAAAAGATATATACAAGTTTGCATTTTGTGAAATGTAATGTTTTCTATAAGCATACAAAGTTCAAAAACATAAAAATTTCCAAAAGTGTCCACAATTTTGGCCACCACTGTAGGTATGTATGTTTCTCACATTCTGAAATTGATTTTGATTTCAGAATGAGAGAAAATTTTCGCAAATTTTGATGTCTTTAAGTACCGTCGTAAACGGTACCTAAAGACATCAAAATTTGAATAAATTTATTAAATTAAATTCTCGTAGTCCTCCACTCGAGTATTAGCATATCGAAAATTTGGAATTTGTTTTATTATCTAGTTCGTATTTTTTAAAACTTTAATGAATTTTTGATTAACAAACTCAACGATTTCAAAGCGACCAATGGCAGCACTGTATAAAAAAAAACATACTTATCTCCAGTACGCGAGATTGCATATCAGAAATTCTAAAGATATGCTCTTTTTTAATATTTTGTGATATGTTGAATTGAAGTTTATGACGTAAGTGCGAAGAACATGACATTTACTAATAAAGGTAATACACAAAACGTTAAACAAACGGCCCTTTGGGCGTAATATAAAAATATAAAAATTTTCAGATTTGTTTTACTTTTCGTTTCTGTTTTTTAATGCATTAATTTATTTTTTATTTACGCGGAACATTCAGATTGCTTTTTTATGACTGAATGCAAAATTAGATAGATTTCCTACATAAGGAATTTAGATATAAGAAATTTCAGTTTTAAGAATGAAATAAGGAGTTTTGATTCTGTTGATGGGGTATTTTTTAAATTGTTAACATTAGTGATTAGAAAATCAAAATATTACGCTTAACTGCATTTGTATATATTCCATCAATTTTATCTTATGATAAATTTCAAGGCCTACTTAACCTTTTTTTACGGCTGAAACGTAAACGCGGCGGAAACAGTCTTGCTGAAGAAACTTGCTACTGTGTTATATATTCCCAGTTAAAGTTATTTCAGCCTTTTCCCTCAGGGCTGAAATGGCCTGAGTAAAATTTCTAATACAGTGAACATGAATGTTTTTATGAAATGATAACACATAGAAAAGCACATGTTATCATCCTTCGCCATCTCTTTCCTTGAACACCTGCTCCCCCACAAACATTTCATCACCAACTGTAGTGAATGAGGTAAAATAGAAAGGTAAAATGAAACGATTCTTTATGCTCTAACCCAGATCATCAGAAGAAAAGAAGAAGACCAAAATGGCTTGCCATCTCCAGAAAGCCTAAAGTGCGAAAGGCTGACATGGGGTAGCACGGAATAGCATGCAAATGAGAAGCATTATCTCGTTTTCTAAAATATAAACAAAATCTGCCTTTCCTTTACAGAGCGCTGTGAGAACAGAGAACAGTTGTCTCTAACTGCGTCCTGCGGACCCCTTGCGGCTTCCACAGCGATTTTATACGGCCCGCCATTATATTTCAATTATGTATTTGTTGCAAGTACAATGCTACAAAGACTTCAAGATTTTAGTTATTTGAGGTCCGAGTTTACATTACTTTCATTACCATTAAAAACGAAAGGGAATAAATAACACACCAGAAAATTTATAAATAGAACTGATTAACCTGCAATGTGATACAAATCTTATTCTAAGATTTTTACATACAGCTTTTATTAACTTTTAGTTCGTACTTATGAAAAAGTAAGTGCACACAGTTATGAATTTTTGAATTAAGAATTGCATCAAGAATAATCGTTTTGTTTTGAAATACATCCATGTGCGAACAGCTCCGTTTGAATGAAAGAAAGAAAAACCTTCTTTGCTTTAATAAATAATTTACTATAATTTCACGCTAACTAGTTAAAAATATATTAAAATAAATACATTTAATAAGAACTTGGAAAACAAGATAAAATAATTGGCATTGTTTGTTTTATTTATGATGCTAAAGGATATTTTTTCATTCTATTTTCAGTCACATGTTTGGTATATGGTTCTTTCACCTTTCGCAATTGCGTTATTTCTACATTCTTATCAACAGATAAGAAAACCTTCCTGATAATCAGAACAGAAGTCGCTATGCCAGCAAATCATACCGCTCGGGCCTTTGCCGTTATGCAGATAACACTCGTTCTTGGATGTTTATACGAAAACACGATTTAAAACTTTTTCTGTATAGTGACAGTTCCTGAAGTGTTTTATCCTTCTATTTTAAATTCTCCAAGGCCGCTACTAAGGCTATCCTTCTGAAGCTCTGACGTTGTTTCATTTGAAAGTTCACAGAAGAATTATGGCATCTTACGTATTAGATTTCGAAAGAACATTCATGCTTCCGAATTCTAGTGTGTGTCCAAGTTTCGGACCTACGAATGATTGTTTCAAAGAATGGGATGTTTTTCTTATCAAAGGTGTAGAAAAAGAAAAATATGAGTTTCACCTTCGTAGGAAAACTACAGAGGAGAAGTTACAACTAACAGGAGTGATAGAATTGAGACCTCCGACTAATGTAGTAGTAAACGTGTCTGACGTTATGCATGTAGGTCAAACTACTCTTTATATCTTCTTATCCAATTTAAGTATTCCACTTAGAACATTTTTCAAAATTGTGGTGTTACGACTTACTAAAGGAATGAAAATATCCTCGCAATCGAATGCCGAGATCCAGAATCTTAACAGCTCCCAGAAACCAATGTCAACACTCAGCGCCGATACATTGTTAACCTTATCCCGTGACATAGAAGATGTATACAAGAAAAAAGATTATTCGGACATGGTTCTTGTCGTAGACACCTTGGAAATACATGTTCACAAGTTTATGCTTTCTGCCAGGTCCCCAGTATTTGCTGGAATGCTTCAACATACCATGACAGAAAGCACGGAGAGTAGAGTGGTGATTTCTGATGTGGAACAGAATGTCATGAAAGAGCTTGTGCTATTTATGTACACCGGTCGAGTTAATGATTATAGTTACCCCATGGCCCGAGAGTTGTACTCAGCTGCAGATAAGTACGCCATCTTGGAATTGAAAGGTATTTGTCGTCAAGTTATTACGTCATCGCTGTCCACGTCGACAGCCACAGAAGCGTTGATTTTAGCTGATATGCACAGCGATGAAGAACTAAAACAAAATGTCATGGTTTTTATCTGTTCTAACATTAAGAAAATGAAAGCAACTCCAGTATGGACTGCTTTCTTAAAGGAATATTCCAATTTGGGAACAGAAGTTTTGTCTTTTGTATTAGACAAACTATGTTAATTTCATGATAGTGATAGTAAGTGACGATAGTTAAAGGATTATTAGTTTCTTGCAAAGAAATTCAAGCTGACTTCTCTTTTTTTCTTCTATGACTATTCAATATTGCTGATTCGTAGATTTATGTTAATTTGTATCATTTAGTTTCATTTTATGTTAATTCATTTCAGTCCTTAAAAATGTGTTTCCTAGGATTAGTCCTTAAAAATGTGATCCTTCCTCTAGAATCCAAGAAACTAAACATTTCTATCGGAAGAGTTATGAAGTTTAATTTGATTTTTTACTGTCAAATAAATTTAAGTATTAAAAATTAACTTGAATATTTTATTTATTGTGTTCAATGAAAATTTTTGAGTTTTTTGTTATTAAATTTTAATTGAATTATTTTTATTGAAATATTTAATTTTACATATTTAATGAAACATTTTAGCCCCCTTTTTATTTATTATCAAATAGCAGTTGAGTTATTAAATTTTTTAGATTTAGTTTCAAATTTTAATTAAGGTATTTTATTAGTTATTAAATTTTAATTGCGCTATCAATTAGGAATTTGGATTTAATTGAATTATAAAGTCTTTGTTTAAGTATAAGCAGTTTCCCATTCCAGAATATATAGCCGCATTTTACATTACGTCTTTATATGTTATTGTTTATTATATTTCATATTTATTTAATATGTTCTGTCTTTGAACTGCAGTTAAATATTCAGATTTCGTTCGTAAAAAGCATAAAATTTATGTTTTATTATAAGTTGCCTAAAAAAACAGATCTCAGTATTCAATGGAAAAACAAATAGTATGAGATGGTTGGTTGTAAGAACAGTTTATTAATATAAGCATTTATTTCTGATTAAATAATATTCAAATTAATACTTATGCAATATTTAATTTTAGCAAACACTGATATTGGATTTATTTATCACCCGTGTTGCTTAAAATAAAACATCCTTGTTTATATTTCAAAATTCAATTCACTTGAAAAGAAATGGCTAATATTCTTTCTCATGTAGTAGTTACTTTATTGTTATAACCCTTACTATATCTTTGACCTTGACGTTCTGATATAATTATAATGAGTTTAAAGTTTTTTAGTTCGCTGATTTATTTATACATTTAGGTTATTACATTATTATAAATTAAACTTCTTTTAATTAGTTTAGACATTAATTATTTATAATTGTTGACATTTTAACGAATTATTGACATTCAGTGTAAACTGATCTATCCTTTTTAACAATTAGATGTATGGTTATAACACGTTTAAATGTGTAAATATTCAATTATACTATCATTGCATTATATGAATCGTATGCATGTATTAGGCTTGTCCATTTTGCTTGTTTTCTTTCTGTTGCACATTCAAAACCAGAAGATAAAGATATTTCTTGACAACTGTGTTTTTATAAATAAGTATTTTTAGGTATTGTTTCACTTCTTTCAATGAAGAAATTTTCTGAAATATCATCCCACAAAACTTCGGTATGTATTTCGCATGATTTCTTATTTCTTAATTTTTTAAATAAATAATGATAGTCATTAATTAAATAAATATATCATATATATGTATGTAATTTCGCAAATGAAAAATAATAAAATCTTTGGGTAAAGCACTGATATATTATCAAAATCTTACGTTGTATTTTGGGGGGGATAGTTGTTATATGCGAAATATAGTCCATGTGTCATTATTAATAGTTTTCAATTATTTTTCTGAATATTTGAAAATTGCTTGGAACTTCCAATCAAAACATCTAATTTTAATGGAGGTTTTTCTGAATACTTGAAAGAATCTCTGAATTCAACTTTTAAATCATTTCGCTTTTCTCGAAGAAAGATCACACAGGACCTTATAATTTTCAAATGCTTCTTTTACTTTTTAAAATTCACAGTGTGGAGCAAATTATAGAATAATATCAAATTTCAAAAGAACAAGCAAACTTTGGAAGAATCTACAATGTTAAATTGTGTGTTTGTATGGTTTCTTTTGGCATATTTTAAGCGTTAAAATCTTTCTTAAATAAAATATTTGTCTTTTAGGGGTTAAATTCATGTTATATTTGAACATTTTTAATAAGCTATTCTTTTCCTTTACATGAGAAAATAATGTCTTTCCCATAAGACATTATGTAAATGTCTTTACAATTTTACATAAGCCAAGTCCAAAATATTATGTTTCAGACAATAATTTCACACAATAATAATTTTATCTCGTCGTTAATTATCTGAATCACTATATTGTATTCTATAAGATTTTGAATATTGAACACTTTTCTACAATTATAAAATTGTCGTCAATATAAACATCAGTCAAACTGATGAAACGTTCACTTGCTTGATATTTTAATGTCTTTAACCTTTATTACTGCATTTTGAAGCATCCTTACTGTTTAAATTTATATCTAATTTATTTTAACACTTGTACGTTCAGCATATTCCTATGAAATTTATATTTTTCTATAAATATTTTACAGTCAATTTACAATCATTACTGAAATATTATCATGAATTACAGTAAGTTTCTAAATTTGACTGTATTTCTAATAAGATTAATATTTCTACGCTTTGAAAGAAAAACATTCTTTTAAAGATTTAATATATTATGTAAAAACGTTTTTCTCTCACTATCTTTAAATTCAGGTTAATTGTTTTTAAATACTACTCACTTCTAGTTTTGAGTATTTCAATTTTTGCAATTATTATTATTCAGAAGTAATACCAAATATATAATTCATCGATAGCATAGTGTTAAAGTAAAAATAAATATGTATTACTGCATTCATATCGTATCACATTTATTATTCATTGATATCTAGGGGTAGTTATTAACCTCAAGGTACCGTTACTGGCCGAGTGGTTAATGACCGCTAAATATTAATAATTCGATCCGATTCGAACTTAGGCAAACAAACTGGATATACGATAGATATTTATGGTTTTCCCTTGTGGAACGTAAATACCAGCCAGGTCTTTTAGAAAGTCCTCCAAGAAGGCATTCCGTATGAACCCGAAAGCCCTAGTGTGCTATACTATATTCAGATAATTTAACCTAATCTGTCACCTCCCATGACTATTTTAAATACTGCGAAATATGTGTTAGAAATCTGTAATAACATTGGCATAAATTTAGCTTAATTTTTAATACTCTTTTCATATTATTTATTTTTAAGATGGTAATAAATGTTATTACAGGTGCAATTGCTATGAATTTTCGGCGGAACTACATTTTTGTAAGTTATGCCTCAAATCTTTATAAATTAATTTTTGTAAATTTTTGTTAGAAATTTTTTAGACTATTTCAACAATTTTTGACTTTAGCTCAATCTGAAATAGTCTTTGTTGCAATCGAAGTTTGCTCGTTCAAACAAAAACCATTTTCTTCTACACCATGTGCGGAATTTAAAATATACTGTATATGATTTTTTGCTATAATGTCTCTATTTGCTACATAACAAAATTAGGTACTCTCCTGTTAGCGTGCCCTTATGGAATGGATGGATGTGTTCATATATGTATGTATGAATGAATGTGTTACTGTATGCATGTATGGATGTATGGATGGATGGAAGTGTTCATATATGTATGTATGAATGAATATGTTACTGTATGCATGTCTGTATATATATATATATATATATATATATATATATATATATATACGTATGTATGTGTGTGTATACACACGAACATATACGCACATACATGCATACACACGTGCATGCATACATTACATTTCTAAATACGGTCCCGATAGCAGAAGAGTACCCAAAATTCCTTCTTTGACTTTTGAAATGCATTGAGCTTTGTGATTGTTGTTAATGTACGAATACTGCACAAAAATTGCAGACGAGCGGAAAAAAAGTCGTCCTTCATACTTTCAATTAATATGAACAAAGTGCGTAAACCGCATTGGACGTTATTATCACGCAAAGAAAAGATGCCAAATTTCAAAACGCCCCAATATGTAAATTCTTGTATATCTTAGAAAGTTTTGAGTAAAAGACTCTAATTTTTTTCCAGGTGTACCTAAAAATACATCTACTTTAGGATGATGTTAAAAGTTTTATAGGTTTTATAGGTTAAAACTGTTTTCGAAAAACTTATAAAAAATATTTAAAAATACAAATTTTAAAAATAAATAATTAAAAATGTGCGAATTATATTTGGATTAAGCCTAAATTCCGAATTCTCGAAGAAGAAATCAAGCAAGTTTAACAAAAAAAGAGATATTAATAAATATATATCACATTCAATTAAAATTTTTAGAGCTAAAATTTTTAGAGTTAATTTTTTAAAACCTAGTCTTACGATTTTTATAAAACTTGGTAGTTTGGCATAATTTGAGTCGTAGAATCGAAATATGGAAAAACATTGGCAGGACATTTCAGAAAATGTCCGATTTTGTGTCAAAGTACTTATATTATAACAATGCTATATATAAATCTAATACATATCTTAAGTCGCGCTTTCGAGACACAAAAAACACAAGTTGAATTTTGACAATCAGCCCAGTAGAACGAGAGTTATAGAACTGTACCCCCCTTTTTTTGTGCAGTGTTCATTAATAGCAGAACATATTTTGTGTATTCCAGTTTTTCAAACATTTCAAAGTATCATGTGTTATCTCGCACGCATATAAATAACATTATCATTTAACAATCGTATTCGTATTTGTTCATAAATGACAGTATTTTGTTAGCACCTTTGTCATTTATGTGTAAATTAAAAAACACATTCATGTTAATAGGTAATTTTAAATGTTACGTATTGCATCTCAGAATGCCGAAGTTACTAATTATGCCGCTGAAGAAATATTCTGATGTTCAGAGATGAATATGTAAGCTTACACGTGCGGAGATAATTGTGTAGGAGGATACATACGAGGGGGTTTGGGGGCTTTTGTGTGCTCGTACGCCTTCACAACATTCTGCTCGTCGTGTTTCTCGCAAGAGTTGGGTAAATTTTATAAAGTAAAATGAGCAGCTGAAAACGTAAGGATGGCAGAATGAGATGGAGAATTGACGGCAGTCTGGAGGAATGCCAATTACAAGCGCAGGTGGCTACAGAGCTCAGTACAACGCCAAGAGTCTTCTGCTATTTGCGGAAAGAGATTCGGGATACAGGATCCAAATCAAGATTTGGACACGGTCGACCAAGATCCACACCGGTGACTGAGGATCGTTATTTGGCACTTTCAGCAAAGCGACGCAGAACTGTTACAGTTTTACAGCTCTCACGTGAACTGAATGTTGTCACTGGAACCCACGTTTTGTGGTCTACAGGCGCCCAAAAGCTTTTGAGCTAGGACTGTATGCCAG